TTTTCTTATTGCAGCGAAATGTATTTTATTAAATAACTCTGCGAGTTTTCAACATTTTTCGTCCAAACTTGGTCAGATAGTAGAACTAGTCTCATGCTTTCATGGAAACCAATAAAAAAATTTGGGGCAAAATTAACACTCAAAGGTGTTCTGTAACCTTAAGATGAAAATGTTCTAGAGCGTGTATTATATAATTTCCATACCCAAATAATAATAATAATAATAATAATATAATTTTCATCTTAACATATTACGGAGTATACAATTACACACTTAACATAACACTTGCAGAACTAGTATTGTTCGATGCTGAATTAATATAAACGAGTATGTTTATGACATTCAGTATATATTTGATTTCATAATTTCCAGTCTTAAATCCGTCTGACCGTGTAGCTCAGCAACCTCGTACCCAGGGCCTTTGCGCGGTTCAGAGGCTCTGGTACGGGAAGCAAAGGCCCTGGTAAACACTGGTCATGTGACTCCAAAAATATTGGACATTTCGTAATAATTTAGTTTTCAATCCGGGGGGAGCGGAGCCGATTGATTTTATGAAACATGGCAGCGCGAAGGCGCGACGTTTTCGAGTTTTTATATTATTATGATAAATAAAACTTTCCTAGTGAGATTTAAGAGTGGGTATATATTATCTATGCATTCTACGAACTTTCTTTCAACAAATTGTGGAATAGGTAACGGTAATACTTATCAAAGATGGAAGGACGAAGATCAAACTGAGCGAAAACTAGTCGAGTGATCTGTCTTTAAACTGTCTATTTTGTATCCAATGCAGCTGCTTGTGTGCGACGTTTTATAAAGAATTAAATAAACATTGTTGATTATAAGTAATTTTTATGTATTGACTAAAGAATATCACTTGGGATTTTATTGTACTTTTATGGAAGGATAAATCAGAGGGGACATCTATGGATGACTATGGAAACGAAATTCTTCATGTGTATTAAACATGTAGTTATCAAAGCAGAATATTTTGAAACAATTAACTGGTCGAGTGACAGGTTGGTTTCCGTATGTATGTAGTTTAAAAGACAGTTGTGAATGAAATTATACACAGCACCTTGAAACCTTTGTGTGTGTGAGTTAATTTCATATTTATTTTTTGGGATACATGTATCATCTATATTTCTGTTTGTCTGGGGGGGGGGGGTACCAATCCTGAATCATGAGAAATAATATACAGTGATCTTGAAACAACAAATTTACTACGAATCTTATATCAGTGATATGTGACTTAGGAGTTTTAAAGGCAAATAACAGTCTGTATACTGGATGTGTGTTCACCTATTTGTTTACATTTGCAGTTTACATGTAATACTGTACATCGGTTCATGATTTATGAAATTTGAACCAAAGCTGCAACATAATATTAGTCACGGCACAAGTCACTAATAATTTTAGGGTAAATATTTTTCTGAAATACTTCATTTGTCAGTTGCATCTTATAGTATATACTGTAATAATATCTTGATTGATACTGTAATAATATCTTAATTGTACCCTGTCTAATAGCTTTGGTTCAATACAATTGGCAACTGGGCTGTCTTAGAAGACCTTTGCTACAACCCCAAGAAAACATGCCTTTTATCAGGAGATCAATTAAATTCTCTGCTTCAACCAGATTAACCACACAAATGTTATTGTCACCATTGTGACTACCGACACTTTTTACAAATAATACACCGATAGTTGAGCACCGAGACTCTGACGGACATATCATACTTTTCAAATATCTTTGGCTTTGGTTAAAAACCAACAATTATACATTCTTAAACATTTTAAATACTTCAGCCTACATAATTACTTCTTTACCATAAAAATTCTTTTGGGTTTAATTGAAGTATTATTCACAGCTGGTCTAAAAAATTGGGTGTTTTGATGCATCATACTTTTGTCAGTAGAATTAAAAACCTATTTAGTCCTATCCAGCTATGCAGAGTTTTATTTGTATTGAGGAGGTAGGGCTTGGAGAGACACATAGGCTTAATGAATATGGTAAAAATCACCATATTATGCATGAATTACATATCACTTTCACTTGTCACAGAGTGAACATACCAAATTCAAACAACATTCACACTGTTTCTAGATGAAATAATCAACTGATTTTTTGGGCAAACAATATAATTCATGAGGGGAAAAAATAAATATTTATATGTGTGCACATAGTTTCAAGATCAGCTAACAGGATTGAAACCAGCTTTCCCAGTTATGCTTGGAGCTGATGAAAACAGTTAGTTTTGAACACAAAATGGCATGGGACTTAATTCATCTAGGTGGCAATATATTGCCTTCTCACCAGCACAATTGATCAAGTCATACACATTCATTACTGCCAATCTCTTTATTATTTATGTCTCATTACAAATACAATATATTTTCATTATCAGCAGTATCATTACAACTTGTGCATCACCAATATCATCACAACTTGTATTTCACTACCATCATCATCATTATTCTCACCATTCTAATTTATTAGTCAATCAGAATGAATAAAAAATTTCCTATTTTACACCACTCGTATATTACTTAATTGCCCAAGGTCAGGGCCATTTCACATCACTCCAGGATCTGAATACCCTGCAATCACCTTTTCAATATAATACTAAAAGAGAAACAAACGACAAATGTCTTAGAAGCACACTGGAATATCATAATTGCCATAAAATAACTGTCATTCATTTGAAACCACATTCTGCTGTAACAGCACAACTGCTCAAGGTTGCAAGGTAAATAATAGGGATGTAGTAAGGTCAGTATTACTGGTAATTGTCTTTTTACATTTTGCTCACAACCAAAGTCCAATTATATGGAGCAAAAGTTAGAATATCCAGCCACTTTTTATTACTCACTTAATCTTACACTTGACAAGTAAAATTGTCTGGTGTTGGACAGAGAAAAATAACAAAGTTTGCCGTACTATTCTGTTAAGTATTTATTGGATGAGTCAGAGACCAATGGATTGGTATGAGGGCAGTTAATTTGTAATTTTTGCATGTATTCATTTATTAACTTTTGACTACTCACTACTGGTCAGCCAGTTAAATAAGTATCTTACTGAGGGTACTGCCTAACTATTTTACATGTCAAAGAGAACTCCAGTTATGAAAGATTGAATATTTTCTGAGCAAGCTGGAACAGAAAATTTTGATTTTAGTGAACTAAGTGAAGGATGGAGATAACCAAAAAATATATCAGGCATGAAGGAGGGTTTATATCCAAAAGCAAAAGATGGAGTAATTAAATGGAGAAAACTAATTATACAAACAGACAGCCACGAATCTGCTGGAATTTAGGATATATAAACTGATAAATATTAAAAGATATGAGAATATAATTTTATACATGTATCACAAAATCGTGTACCTCGAATATACTGCATTCTTTATAACATACTGTAATTCAAAATCCATGTGACTTCAAAGTTTATAATTTCCATCAAAATAAAAACAAGCCTAAAATCTGCTGTCTGTTGTTTTAAAATATGAATTTTCAAACAATTGTGAAACATTCATATTTTAAAAATCAAAGGCAAAATCATTTGTATTTGAAACTTTTATAGTTCGTGCATTGCAATGTTCAGTTGTTCATCCCCGCCGGGATAACATGACCTAAATAAGGCCAGGTTACAAAAATGTCCAATATTTTTGGACACACGTGACCAGTGTTTACCAGGGCCTTTGCTTCCCGTACCAGAGCCTCTGAACCGCGCAAAGGCCCTGGGTACGAGGTTGAGTGATTGTTCGAATGTGTACGGGACGGTGTCGTCAGATACTGTCCATAGTTGTGCCGATGATTTTCGACGAGGTACAGCTCTCCAATGAGAGGTAATGAGATACGCTTTTGTCTTCTAAATTTCCCTCATCAAGCATGCAGGGGAAAATTAGAAGACAAAGAAATCCTTTGTTTTCAACTAAATTTCCCCGTTTCCCGGGGAAATTTAGAAGACAAAAGCGTATGCATGGGTAATGAGGAAAATACGTGATTAAACGTCCCTGTTGAAACAAAAGAAACCGAGGCTACCATGTGTTTACAATGTATATAATTATTCTATATACGTATACTTATACCCATAAATTATCAGAATTGAACACCCCAAATACTGGAGATTTTGAGGTCATGTGACCGGCCGATGCCAGGGCCATTTTCGCTGATCGGAAGCAAAATGCCCTGGGTACGAGGTTGGCGGCGCAACCCATTCTCGAAGCCCCCGACCCTCGTCATGTTCTGTTGACCGCGTGTAAGACAGGCTCTGGGTACGAGAATGTGGCATAGCCTAGCTCCATTTGAGGATTGGGTACCTCCAGTCCTCCACAAAAATATAATCTACAGTGAATATGACGTTTTGTGGACCGGCACGTGATATAGTTTTGATCAATCGGCAAACAGGAAAATTGAACTTGGACACTTGCTATATTAATAACCAATCAGAATCGAGTAAATTGACTAATACGATATAAAAATATTATTATTACTATCATAATTATTATATAGCAAGTTCTTGTATGGCTGTAGCCTGTGTCACAGATTGGTCATTTAATTAATTAAGGCATTAAAGTTTTAAATATAAGAGGAGACTGCTTTAGAAACCATGAGCGCTTTCCATTTGACGGAAATTCCGGAAATCTTGCTTGAAAATGACAGAAATGATTGTGGAATTGTTCAGCATTCGGCAAAATAAATCCAGGCTCGAGGCACTGCAGAAATGGTCGAGGACCCGCCATTTTGGTTTTGGTGGCGGTTTTTGCTCGTCGAAGACTGGAAAGCAGAAACATGGTTGGGAAATGTTTTAATGGGATGTAAGAATTTCGAAACTTCCGGAATTTCCAATTTGTGGACAACCTCGAGAGATTATCCGAGATTTTGGAAATGGCATTCCAGAAATTAACGTGTTCCATTTGATTTTCAAGCAAGATTTCCGGAATTTCCGTCAAATGGAAAGCGCCCCGTATTAAAACATTTTTTTAATGATTTTTTTAGTTAACAAGATTGCTTATTCCAGCAATGGTTGAAAGGTGGGTTGTTTTTGTAGTTTCTGATGTTGATAGCTTAACCTGCCTCGCCGCGTACAGAGACAAGCGAATTGGCCCATTTGCCGAGATGTCATTTCAAATATAGGTATATTATAGCCTGGTACAATTTCCCCCATATATTAACACTCGTTAGCATGGCTTGCCGCGGGATGACTGTATGAAGAGATGCAGCCGCGAACTATTGTTAAAAGAACCAAACAATTTTGGAAAGGGGGATTGCAATTTCCTCAGAGAGTAAACACATGGCAGCTAGAATCTCGTTTGACGGGCAAGCACGGTTCATTTAACATCCCATAACACGATAGATGGAAGGTCTTGTTAAATTAATCAAATGGGTTATTTATACCTTCATATTGTTGTTGGTTTTCTGTTTAGGAAAAAAGGAGTGATCATAAATGTTGCATCATTCGCTGCTACTACTTTTTTCCCTCTTACTGGAACATACGCTGCAACAAAGGTACTGGATCACTTTGAAAACTGAATTACTTGTCAGGAGCTGTGTAACACTGCCGAAAAAGGTCTGTACATGCGCGGGAACTGAGTGTGCACAACGGCAAAGTTAAATTCCGATTTCTAAACCAAAAACGTCTGATCAAGCAAATTTTAAACAAGGAACCTACGTCACAATAATGTGTTTTTGGTAGCGTCCTGCTGCAACATAAATACTTAACAAATATTAATGTATGTATAAGTATAAGCAACTATGCATGGTAATATGATAAGTATATATTTTACTGCAAATATAAAATAAATATAACATGCACTAGTCAGATTTCTTTGTTCAGTTCATGCCAGTCATAAAGAATTATAATGGCATACATTTCTGTAAAGTTTGGATATGGTAAGGCATTGAGTCATTTGCTCTGAATTCAAATGAGAAAAGTATAATAATTGCAAATTAACAATTAATATTCATTAATATACAGTATGGTCTCGAATAACAGTATTTAATCTTTTATAATATAGGCTTGTATGGATAAATTTTCTGAATCTCTTCAGATAGAGTATGCTGACAAAGGCATCATTGTACAGGTAAAGAGCAGTTTTAGTGTACCTAACAGTTATCAAAATTTCGATAAAAGGCAGGCTTTGATAAAATGTTCTCCTTCCTGGCAGCAGCGTTTTTTTTTCAGAACGTTTTTGCTTCTTTGGATTTTTTCTGTTCTTTCCCAACGTTCCCCTTCACTTTTTTAATGGCCCGTCTCTAAAGTGTTATCAAACCTAAAATGGATATAGCAAAAATGTATGTGGGGTGATGTGGGTATCACATGATGAAAAGCCAGATTTAAAATTGCTTTAAGTACTATTTAAAGCACGCGTAGGAGTGTTTTATCACATATAAAACACGACGCGTAGCGGAGTGTTTTATATGTGATAAAACACGACTACAAGTGCTTTAAATGGCTTCAAAAACGACTCATCTTATACGAGTTCATTGACATTGGCGAAGTAATTTTTAAAATAAACTTTGTCTAAACCGAGAAAATCAAAGCTAAAGTTTATGTAAATTAACATGATTTTTTATCACATATAAAACCACGACACTCTTATGATTTTTCTTTGTGTTTTCCTCCTGAATTATTAATGAGTTTTTGAAGCTGTCTTAATGCTGGTTTAAATACTGATTCAAACACGCACGCGTGGGTGCGAAAGGTGAGAAAGCCATTATAATATAGTCTTTCAGGCTCCTACATTGTATACGGTATATAGATTAAATTAATTTCAGATTAACTGGAAAACGTACTTATTACGAAGATAAAAATAAGAATACGAAGATCTAAAATATAAAACAAAACCATTTTATGTAAATTGTCAACTTTTTCCTAAAATTGTGTGCCAAGAGGGCTACTTTTGATGTCCGTTTCATTCTTATACAGTGTGTATTGCCATTGTTTGTTGCAACAAAGATGAGTGGTATGAAGACAACGTTGTTTTGTCCTACTCCAGATGACTACGTACCTAGTGTGTTGAAGAAAGTTGGAGTAGCCAAGAGATGTTTTGGTTACTGGGCTCATGAATTACAGGTAAGTGAAAGGCTGCGGGTATCCGGGTACCACACGTGAGTAAGGTTTACCATATGTTAGGTCATTGAAGAAGGTTGAATGTGGAACACTCTACCCAACACTAACACCATAAACTAAACAAGTAAATGATACTTGACTAGGCAGGTTGAGATTGGCAGGATGCTGATGTTATGCTGGTACAATAATTATGTGGTACAACATTTCCTAACGCTGGCAATAGCAGCTTTCTGGGGACCGATCAAAATCCATTACGTTCAGTCGTGACCAATGAGAACCTAGTAAGAAATAGGAATAAGAAGCCGATTTGATGACATCATTTATATTAATATTTTGCCATTTGAAAGAGGCATAATTCACATTATTTTGAGGAAGGTTTGAAAATTTAAATTTTACTCGGTGGAAGTTGAACATTTTTTGCAACTTTGAGTGAAAGATATCCTATCCATATCGGGATAATATATACTGTACTTTATTATATAATTTATAAAGCACAACAATTTAAGAAAGATGCTCCGAACAAAGACAGTGCATGATTGCCGAAAATTTGACACAGGAACACGAACATATTTATAGACACCCAGGAATTAAGGGTGGGGCAATTAATCTGGGTCTTGTGAAGTTTAGCAACGCCAAATGTTTGCTTGCTGTTCATGGCTACTCCAGTGAACTCATTGTATTTATACTGGAACGATAACCTTCCAGGAAACTTTTTTTAGCCAAAATAAAATGCCTACGCCATCAAACATGGTTGTTTTCACAACGGACCAAATAAGTCGAACAAATAAACTATTAAATAACCCGCTTTAATCGATTGCGAAATTATATTTTCCACCTAGTTTTCTTTCTGTAATCTTTCTTAGGCAGTTGGAAAGGTAATAATACTTCGTTTACTTGCAAATAATACAAAACTAAGATTGAGGTACTGACCGCGCAGTAAAAAATTGTGAGGGACTGAACTACATATTAAAGATAAACCAGATAAACCATCTTGATGTTCGTGTGCGCACTTTATCGCCTGCCTTATCACAAATTGCGAACGCGAGATGACATGTGGCGACACTTACTGAAAAAATGGCGGCAACACAGTGCCAGTGAAATGAATATAATTGGAACGCTACCGTCAGATAAAGTCCCCATGTTTGCCTGAAGCCAAATCTGACCCCCAGTCACGCGTCTGCACAGCTTCAATCTGATTGGCTTGGAAATTATGCGATTTAAGCTCAAGATGACGTGATTATTGCTCAAAATAGTGCGATTTGGGAATTAATCGCACAATTTTTCACCAATTGGCTTGCTAGAAATGCCATTGATTGTTAAATTAATAGAATAAATCTTGTTATAGCATGGCTCTCTCACGCTCGATTGCTTTGTACAGTAGTTATTTCAGGGAGCCAACGCCTTTTCAAATTGTAAATATTTATTCCGTTGTTGTTGTTGTTGTTGTTGTTGTTGTTGTTGTTGTTGTTGTTGTTGTTGTTGTTGTTGTTGTTGTTGTTGTTGTTGTTGTTGTTGTTGTTGTTGATTACTGAGCTAGTGTACTTCGTTGCTAGGGGCGAGGGGATAAAAAACTGGAGATTATCTATAGTGCGAGCTGCGAGTTGCGAGTTGCGAGTTGCGAGCTGCGAGTTGCGAGTTGCGAGCTGCGAGTTGCGAGTTGCGAGTTGCGAGTTGCGAGTTGCGAGTATATTGTTAATTTCTAATAACATCGGGTTTAATTTTAACCCAGGGTTAACACTAACCTAGCTTTGAAGCACCGAACCAGGTGTTTACACCTGTGGTTTACACTAAAAATTCAAATTGAAAACTGTATGGCATCCTGGCGGATGTGATTTTAGCTTTGTCTCAATTTGGCGCCAATTTTCAGCTTTTGAAATAAACATTCATTGCATTTATTTTTATACTTACAAACTTGTAAATAGCAATCGTTTTGATATACTGATGGTTTTTTCCCGTGTTTAGATAAAGTTTATGTATGTATATGTATGTCTATGTATAAATTGTATAAAATAAATTGTACTTCCGATGAAAAGGACTTGAGTTTTATAGGGTTCCCAGCGTTCAGTATATATAAACAAACTGAGTCGGTGTCTGGTCATCCTTACTAATAAAATTAAATAACCATTTTAAGATTAGAAAGCACAAAATGGTCTGGATAACTACTAGATTTTATTAAACACAGAAACGGCAAATATAAACTTGCACTTTTATTTTCAATATAATTATTTTAATTCTTGAACATACGTATCGATGGATCTAACAAAGTAAAAAACAAGTAAAGGCCGATTTTTATCTCGTCCGTATCGTAGCATTTTCTTTTGTGTCGAAGTCTTAGTTACAGGGACCTTAACTTCGAAGGTCATTATATTTATGAAACAAAAAACCCTTCGACTTTGCCTTCCATGTCGTCCATATTAATATACTTTCAAAGCCTAATTCAAAGCGAGGCTAGCGACTCGCAACTCGCAACTCGCAGCTCGCAAAATAGCCGACCCCAAAAAACTGTGACAATATGAATTTGTCAACTAACATAGTTTTCTCTTTAGGGATTTATAATACTTTCACTTCCCCGATGGCTAATTACAAGATCAGCACTTGATGCCGTGTCACGTCATCAAAAAATATCATCACAAACAACAAATGAAAAGAAAGAAAAATAGATTGCGGTGCAGTTTGATGTGTTTAATATATGTTTAGAGTACTACATACACAATATTTTGGATAACCAATAATGTAAGGATGGGGAGCTACAGGTACTTGTATTTTGTTGGTAAACGACTGCCAGGAACGACGAAGAGGTTAGGGCTTTTAAAAGTGTATTAATAGCACTACTGCATGTATATGTAAAGCCTGCCGCGCACGAGATCATTTGGCTGAGCTAATTGTCAACCATGGAGGATTTTCCCTCACTGTCTCGCGTGTCAGATTCCGCAGCAAAAACCGTGCGCACACGATAGCCTTTAGCTAAGCTATTGCCACGCGTGGCGATTAGGGCAGCCAAAATCTCTCGTGTGCGACAGGCTTAATAGTGTTTGACACTATGTGACAATAATTAACACTACAGTATATATGATTCGATTTTCAAAAGTGGAGTCAAACCATCTGCTGAACAGTTGTTTTTGAGCTTACCAATAGCTTTGGCTATGTTTACAGTGTATCAGTTAGGGGTCGCGTTGTTCGTCCAAGTGTAAAACAGATTCCTATGAGCACGATATAGATAAACAGGTGGGAAAATTGTTTGAGCATGCGCGAAAACTGCGCGTGTATTGTACGGGACAAGATATACATGTATGTGTTTCCACTTGGTTGATTTGAAAACAATAACAACATGAAGGAAGGCTTCGAAAGACAACGCAGCTACTGTTTGAAGCCACAAATCACCACAAAAAAAATTGGATTAACTGAAAAAATGTTGCAGTAATACTTTAGATTTCCTCTATTGCCGCAATTTTTACATTGTAAATTATTAATATAATTTATTTCAGTGCAAAACAAAGCAGAGCAAAATAATGAAATTCAAACAAAGGAATATCCCAACACTTCTAGAATTTTACACAGCCAAAAATTTAACACCGACTTGAAAATGCTTTTCAAATGTATTTCAAAACGGCGAAAATTTCGTGGCACAACCTGTACCATGATAAATTCATGTTTATAGAATATTGAACGAGCAAAAATTGTGTTTGAAAAGAATACACAATTTACGTTTTGAAATAAGGGTGGTAGAAAAGTGCGATTACTATACATCTTTATTCTGTTGCTCATTTTCTGGGTAGCATTCATTGTACAAATTACATTTGCATATGAAATTTGCCAACTTTTTTCTCAATATTTTGGGAGTTTTCATTCTATTGGAAAAAAACTAGAAAGAAAATCACATCTTGTGACCTAATAACATTTTTTATGGCACAAAATGTCAAGCCTCAGACAAGTACAATCTTTACATAGTGCCTTGCCATTCTAGGGGGTCTCTCGGGCTTTTTAGGGAACAAGACATATTTTGCAATGAGAACAAGGGAAAATTGTGAAATCTTGGTGGAGACTCTCCTAGGAGACCCTCATTCTTGGAGTAACCTATAATAAGGCAACAATGCGCCCTAGCATGCTCTTGATTAGGGAGTTTAAGCTTCACGTTTCCGGGAACGGCAAACGGTAGGTTCGAACTTTCTTGGCAAAATTTTCGTTGAACGTTTTCGTTTCATATTTTCTTTCTTGCGTCGAAGGAATAATTATGTATTTCAGTTTTAAACCAGCAAGTTCATTTACTCTGTATTGCTCGATACCGTAAATTTTTTCTTTGCCTGGCGTTTGCCGTTCGATGTTAACGCGAAGCTTAAACTGTCTATTAGAATATTACTATTTTAAACACGAAAAAAAGGGGCGGTGGTATTGGTTAACAGGCTTACCAATCAATCCATTCCATTTTAATTACTAAGGCAAATGTGGTCAAAGCATTATCTAACAGTATTATATTTAAGGTTACAGAACACCTTTGAGTGTTAATTTTGCCTAAAATTTTTTTATTGGTTTCAATGAAAGCATTAGACTAGTTCTACTATCTGACCAAGTTTGAACGAAAAATGTTGAAAACTCGCAGAGTTATTTAATAAAATACATTTCGCTGCAATAAGAAAAACATTGAAAATGTAATATTCAAATTCTATTTTCTCACGAAAAATTTTACGGTAATTACTGATTTTCAAACGAGTTGTGCTCCTGCGGGGTTTAACCAATTTTTCTCAAATTTTCACAGGGCATAGCTAAATACGTCAGTTTCAAAATTGTGTTCGGCTTTTTTTAAATTTTGGATATTTTAAAAATAAAGAGCAATTCACTCAAACAATTCAGAAATATATTGCAGTCGTCAAAGAAATCGCCATATCAGCCGAATGACGAAATAAACAAAAATTTCCGAACACAATTTTTTAGAACAACTATTTTACTGTATAAAAATGATATTTTCATAAATATAACTTAAAACCAGCAGGAACACAACTCAAAAGCGTAAAGGTACCGCGATTTAAGATTTTCCTGAATAATTCTTACATTATTTTATTGCTTGTTAATTTTACAACTTTACCATATTTTGTATGCACTGGAGAACATTTGGTGAAAATTTGGTGAAAATCGGACTGATATTGAGCGCGCAGTAGCGATTTTCCGCAAAACGCCAAAAAGGGTGTCCTGTAACCTTAACGTCAGATGATCTTACTCATCCAAAACAAGTTTGGATCTTAACTCTTTTATCACCGATTCTATGTTAGGACCTTTGCAAAAAATAGGTTTGGGTGGGGTAATTTTTTGGGTGGGGTATAGCTAGAATTTTTGTTTCAAAACAGGTCGGGTAAATATTTTTTCGTTTTCCATAATAGTTTTTCTTCGGCCCCACAAGGCTATAAATAACAACCAGTCCCTAATAGTTAAAATCTTTTTCTACAATGTTACATGTACAACAATGTGACATACGTATCTTAGCATGCATATACAGTAATTATGAAAAAATCGTTAGGTAGTATTATATAACTGACGAAGTGTATATCTCACATGACATTTATTCTTCATTGCTATAGCTTTTCGATTAATTGTATCAATTTACTAATTCTATCATCGTATTCAACATAAAAATAATTGCAACTTCAGGTTTTAGTAACTCTTATGTCCAGTTCATAACTTGGTCGTAATTCAGTGTGTAGTGACAGTGACGTCGTAACTTCCTCCGCGGTTGGTTAGACCATGACCATTGTGGTTACCATTCACTGTAGGTGGTGATTCACCCCAACCATCACCATAACTAGAGTATGGGTAAGCAGGTTCACCATGCTTGGGGACATCAAGCCCTGAAAGGTTTGAAAGTTATATGACAATAAATACTTTTTTGTTTGTATCCTATATTTTGAATAACAGTGGAAATAGATTATGAAGTTATCTATAGTCATAAAGATATTATTTAAAATCTTTTGAATATACTGTTTCATTTCTGAGAAGTTAAAGTATGTTCTTTTTATCGGTAAAATGACGTCATAATTGGTACGGCCGAAATAGAATAATAAAATATTCTTTTAAATTAACTTGAACTCGTTTGGTTTTTGAAAATATAGTTCAAAAGTGTCAAGATATTTCATGAGCTTTGCGAAAAATTTTAATTTCGACGCTTCCATGCAATGCTGTCAAACAGATTGAAATATCTCATTAAAAGCATATTAGATATCTAAAAAGTATGAAGATAGCTAAAAAGTGTATAAAACTACGTCATTTAGTGATTACAACTTCTAATCATTCCAGACATCGAACTTTTTCATCATGCAGAATCTAATGTAAATGAGTTGACTGTTCGTTTATTCGCATTTACACAAAGTTTTTGAAAAGTCTGACGTCGGAAATAGGACCAACTTAATTGCATGTTATTTTCCTTCCAATCATGGTATTGTGGTTGGATCGCACATACTTTGATATATCCGGTATTATACTATAAAATGTCATACAATTAGCCTACTTTACATTATTGCATATTTTATGCATTACAAGGGTCAAGGCTAATGAACAATTTTCCAACCGAGACTGTTATTTGAGACAAAGTGTAAACGTTTAATATTGAAAACAATCCATGTATGCGCAATTGTATAGCCCTTTTAGATGTGCAAAAAGCACCAAAACGAGATTGTTCATGCTTGTTTGTTCAATCTAGCATATAACCATCGATGTTTTAAACATTTAATTTTTCAAATTATATTTACTATATTATATTTATTTGATTTATATAATAATAATAATAATAATAATAATAATAATAATAATAATAATGGGTTTTAATAGTATACATGGAATAAGATAACTTAATTGTCATGTATTTACATAGGTAATACTACTACTAATCTATTAAAATGTTATTAAAACTATATCTATTTACATCTACTGTAGTAAGAACATTATATATTATTATTGTATTTATCAATAGCATAGACTAGTGGACTGTTCTTAAAACGATTAGTTCTACTTTTAAAGTTATAAAATTTGTTTCTATTGGATCTAGTTTCCCTATTTCTAATGTTTCCCACTTTCACAGGTAATAAGTAGTGTAATTTATGTGACGGGGAGGACATGTTTTTAATTAAGTCACTGCAATGCATGTCCCGTCTCTGATTAAGTGGAAGTAGTTTAGACGAAGCAAGAGCATCTTCATAACTTAGGTCAGGAATGATAATCCTTAGAGCACGTTTTTGGATTCTTTCAATATCTTGACTTTGTGAGAACGTTAGGCCTCCATGCCATAATATTATGTCACCGTATTCCAATATAGGCGTTTCCTGGCCTTATTAATAATAAAAAAGGTATTAGTATGCCATTTGAGATCCGACTGAAGCCAAATGCCTAATAGCTTGTGGGAGTGTACTCTTTCAATAGGAATGTTGTCTATCGGAATCACTGGTATTTTAGATTTCATCATTCGAAGGTCGATTACCATTTCTTTAGTTTTTTTCAAGTTCAACCTCATGTTTTCCTCTCTCTTGAAAATTTTGAAATTCTTTCAACATTTGCTTGGATCGATGTTGCTCACTGGGTGGGTTTCAGGGTTATTTATATTGAGAATCTCTGATAGGGTAGTATCATCCATAAAAATTGAAACATGTTCTTTTCCTGAATTTTTGTCAGTGAGTGCCAAATCTGGTAGTTTATTAATTTTGGTAATAAATGCTATCGGGCTGATTTTACTTCCTTGAGGTACCCCTGCGTTGATCTTTTTAAAACACGATGTCGATCCATCTATGTTTACCCTCTGTAACCGATCGGATAGGTACGAGGCTAACCATGGTAGTAAAGCGGGACGAACTCCAACAGATTTAAAGTCATTCAGCAAGATGTTATGATCTATAAGGTCAAATGCCTTGGAAAAATCCAAGAAAACGATTCTAATTACCGATTTGGGTTTCTCCAAGGCGACAAACCATGTGTGTATAGCATTTCGAGGAGGGCTAGTAGAAACGACGAACGTGGAATTCCCCCAAATTGACGTTCGCTGAGACAGTCGCTTGAATCTTCCAACATCCAATCCAGTGCAAATGATTCTTGAATTTTTGAAAATACACTTGTAAGGGCAATTGGTCTAATATCTCCTACTGTAGTGCATGGATTTGACTTTGGGATAGGGCAGCAGTTGTATGCTTTCCAAATCTCCCCAAAACATTTCTCTTGAAAGGAGGTGTTAATATTAATGTCTGTTAGTGGACCGGATAACTGCTCCGCAAAGTGTTTGATAATTTTCGTTAGTGGATCAAAGGGACCTGGGGACTTATTGATATTGATTTCTTTAAGCTTTTGTGCAATACATTCCCTTGAAATGGTAGGAAGATCAAGATCGTCTCCACCCAGCTGTAGATCGTTTGATATTTTATTATAGTCTTTAGTTAGGTTAATTAAATAATCATTAATGCACTCTACTGCTTCTTCTGAGGTTAGAGGTTCACCAGAGTCTGGGTTGACAAGGTTGATTTTTTGGTTTTTGCTTATTCCACATATACGTTTGATACTTTTCCACCAATCTTTTGGGTTATTAGACTGTAATGGTTTTACTTTGACCCGGTAAAACGTTTGTTTTTCCTTTTTCATTTCTTAGCGAACTTTGTTACGCAACGATGTGAATTTCTGTTCATCTCCTTTCGCAAAAGCTTTATCTCGGTTCACTATTAATGTTTTAATTCTTCCTGTTAAAAACGGTTTATCCTCTTGGTGGAACTTTACGGTACGTTTAGAGAAGTACCGAAGTAGGTATCTACACTGCTATTAATTACTTGGGTGAACATTTCCAGTTTTTGGTTGACCGTTGGCAACCTTGTTAGACCAATCATATGAGTTTATCCACTGCCCAAAGGCTTCTAAACTAGAATCCTTAATAGGTCTCACCGTCACTTTCCTTATTCGGTTAATATATTTTTCGACGTCTTTGGACTTCCACTGGATAATAACATGATCCGATGAATCTAATGGAGCTAAAGCTAAGGGAATGGAGTAAAAGCTAGGATGCGACATTAGAAAAAATTAAATCCAAAATGGCACCTTCTCTCGTAGGGACGCGGACGACTTGTTTCAGACCACACAACGTTTTGAGACGTTTTTCGTTGAAATTATTACTATTTGGATTAAAATCACCAGTCACTATGAAGGCTGTTTCTGTGCTCTCTAAAACCAGTGTATCGACACAATAGCAGAGATAATCGTAAAATGTTTCTATTTCTTGATTTGAAGTAAGAGGTGGGAGGTATACAACTGCTATCGCTATTCGTGAAATACGTCTTGGGAGCCACTTAGGTCGGATTGTAGTCCAAAGGCATTCGATAGAATAATGTGACAAGTCTTCGCGCACTTTGTAAGGTAGGTGCTCCCGTATATAAATACAGACTCCTCCGCCGCGAATTCCGTTTGCTCTATCTTTCCGGATAATTGTGTAGCCACTCACTTGAACAACTTCATCTGGAATGTGGTCATTCAGCCACGTTTCTGTGATACATAGGACTTCAGGGTTGAGAATTTTGGTGCGAATAGATATTTCATCGACTTTATTAAGGATTGATCGAGCATTAAGAAGCATAATATTTGGAAGGGATCTGGTTGGAACCGGTTTGTTGCATTTCGGTATTGGAACTAAGTTAGCCAGGTTGCGGTTTATATTTATTTTTTGAATAAAAGTTTATTTATATTATATTTTGGTATAATATTTATATTTTGAAAAAAAACATAGTTAATATATGTCTTGAGGTGTTCAAAAAGGCACCAGTGATTACCTTGGTTGAAATTAATTTCGGAAGAAAAAAGAAGAAATTATTTTTCGAATCGGTCTATATAGACTGCTGCAGGTCAAGGTCTTAGCTAGCAGGCCGTGTCATTACGGTTAAAAATGAAAAAACACGGAAAGATAAAACGTCGCTTCATTATTTACGTAAAGCCGTGTAGGTTCATAACTTCGAGCATATAATTGGAACCGTATATAAATTTTGCCACGAAGTTTAGAAACCCTGGAAATTTAGAAGCATGCCCAAAACCTAAAGGCCTTATATAGCTAAGACATGCACTTCTGCCGCTTTATAGATAGACTTGCTCCAAGTCTCTCTTTCATTGTCATATCGATCCACTATAGTGTACATTACATGACGTAGCACGAAGAGGCGGAGCGAGAAAGAGAGACTTGTCAACTTCGGAAAATCTCGGTTCAAAACTGAACCGAAAATGCAAGACTTGCTTTACTATTCTTTCCGTCAATTTCTTTCTGTATTATTTACTATAATGGAACTCATGTTATTTACACTGTGTTATATCAATACATATAAACACTGACAGAAAACAATTAAAGCAAGTCTTGCATTTTCGGTTCAGTTTTGAACCGAGATTTTCCGAAGTTGACAAGTCTCTCTTTCTCGCTCCGCCCCTCCGTACTACGTCATGTAATGTACACTATAGTGGATCGATACTATATGAAAATGAAAATGAAAGAGAGACTTGGAGCAAGTCTACTTTATAGAGTACCTCAAGACTAATAGTTTTGCAAAGTATAAAGATAATAATAGTATGTAATCTCTTTGAGAAATTAAATCTTAAAAATAGCGACGTTTATGCTAAACTTAGCAAAGAAGACTGAAGTAGCGTCGTTTTGTTTCTTTTTGGACATTTCAAAGGTCTATAATTTCGTGTTGAAAAATTCTTTATTTGCTTCGTTATGCATAAAATATAAAATAGTGCAAAATTTTGTAGTATTCGAATCTGTCAATAAGCTTACCTTTGATTTCAATGTCTCGAGATACACGCAAAATCTTCAGTAATTTGAGAGACATGAAAATTGCCAACCCCCAGAACAAGGCCCAAGCGGAGATAGCGATTGCACCAAGTAAGTTCCAACCAAGTCTCTTGAAAGCCATTTCATCCCAGTCATAAAAGACGCCGTCTTTTTTGCTGAACAAGGTAACAGCAATGACTCCCCAAAAACCAGCTCCGTAATGTACTAAAAGTAAACCGCTTGTTATAGTTGTACGTTTTTGGAATCGTTGCCTATTGAGTCATGCAACGAATGGTTATGCACAATCCCACCAAATTCGCGATTCTGAAAACTCACATGTCTTGTTAACTTTTTGTTAATTTATAAATATATAAATATATAAATGTTATAAAGAAATTTTAAAAACTCATTAATAATTCTTGAGGAAAAGAGAAAGGTAATTTAGTGGTTTTAAATTTGATAAAAATGACTGTGTTAATTTACATAAACTTTAGCTGCAATTTTCTCGGGCTTGGACAACGTTTATTTTGGGTAAAGTCCTACCTAAAATGATCATGTTTTGTGATTGGCTTTCAGAAACAAAAATGATCATTGTTCGTGACTCGTTCTTTAGAAGGACGATTTTTATAGTTTATTGTCTTTCATTGTTATAATCAACCAACCACGAACCTGGATAGTATAGGTAGATTATGACCCTTTATTTGTAAAATTACTTCACCCATGAACTCATAAGTTGGCTCGGCTGTCGCTTCGTATTTTATATTTGATAAAGCACTCCTGCTCGTGTTTAAATGGTACTTATATGTATAAATATATTATTAATAGATAGTCATTAGATTAGTCATAAAACAAATTTTAATATATTTAAAAGAAGGGGCAGCCTGCAGGGTCCAGGCCTTAAAATATCTTTTACAGGGCCGTCTGACAAAATGTCCGGTGACGTCGAGTTTGGGTCGGACATATGTCCGATGACCTTCAGTTCAGTTTTGACTCGGAAATAAGTCTGTATGACACAAATGAATAAATGGTAAATATTGTAAAGATATTAAATAATTTGTTTCTTTCATACTTATTTCCAAGCCAGAATTAATTTGCTTGCCAGAACAGCAGTGTTAAAAAAGACGTCGACAACATTAAGCCCGTTTTCCACTTCACCATTTCGCTCGCCGCCCCGCGCTCGACTACGTTAAAACAACATTTCTAGTTCACGTTTTATACAATAGTACTCTGATTTTCCATTTAACATACAAGCCTAGTCCTGGGCCAGGGTACATTTTGATTTACGTCGGACAAAGCTACATGTAGTTTGGTGGGACACAAATACACTCGGGTCGGACAAACAATAAACCTCAGTTTCACTTTGGTCGGACAGAATGTCCGGTGGTTTCCTCTCTACGTCGGACAATTTCACGAATGGGTCGGACAATGTCCGTGACGGACCGATATTTTAAGGCCTGAAGGGTCAAAACATCTTCTTCGTGCATAGCCCTTTTGGGTTACTCAATATTATAAAGAAAGATAGTCCGTTTTATGTACTGTTTAATAAACGAGCAGGAGTGTTCTATTAGGTTTAAAGTCACGCGCAGCGCGAGTGGCTTTAGACCTAATAAAACACGACCTGCGAGTTTATTAAACGGCTTCAAACTCGACTACAAATTCAATAGATATACTGCCTTATTAGTATTCTTTATATAAAAAATACTAATGAGGATACGACCACGATAGATACTGCTTTATTAGTATTCTTTATATAAAGAATACTAATTAGGAGTGTTTTATCAAGTTTAAAGCCACTGCACGTGACATATTATGGTTGACACTTGACATGATTTGCCAATAAGCCTATGAATTATTAATGAGTGTTTGAAAATGTAATAATAATTTCTTTTGCCGAATTATGCCAAGTTGAGGTAAATTTAGTGATAAAATGGTTTCAAATTTTAAATTTGCAAACTAATACGAAAAGCGTAATTAATGATTACTGTACATATGATTCCTCTAACATACGTGGGGTCCACGTATTCAAAACAAATAGTAGTATGCGAATGCTTGGCTGGTGTAATCCATATTTCAAATCTGGAAAGCATAATTTTGTTGCCATTTCCCAATTAAATTTCAAGATTAATGATACCTGCAACCGCATCAAGAGGATCATCAATTTTCAATTTCTCAATCAAATAGCTCCATGTCATGAAGACCAGACCAGCAACAAGACCGATAACAAATCCAGCCCAGGGATGAACTGTATTGCAACCAGCGCAAATAGCCACCTTAATATAATTTTGTATTACTGTTATATTACCTTATAAGTGAAAAGAAAACGTAACGAAGTTGTGGAGACTTTCAGGATTTTCAGGATAGAATGGACTCATGAACAGTATGATCATGTTTCGGGTTTATAGTCCCTTTAGTTGTTTCTACTGTATTGTTGTGTATGTAATTTGTACCGTTTCATTCTGCCCATACGTGTCTCCGGCCTGTACTGTACTATTCTGAATAGTTCTGCTGTTAATGTCTTTTCTGCGAACTAGATTTGGTTCTTTAGTTTCGATATCATTAACTTAAATTATGTTTTCTCTAGACAATACCTAACAGAAATAATGTTTTCTGTGTAAAATTTTAAATAGACTCATTTGAAAAATCCGAAATAGAGACAGAGGTTATACCTAAAAAAATGTTAAAATATTCCTACCATTCCTGCCAGTCCTCCATTAATTGTTGTCAGTAAACTCCAATGTCCAGTGAAAAATCCTGTTGCTATTCGCTTGATAACCATTGCCATTATAGCACCTCCAGCACCTATAAATGATTCATAACAATACACCCTTCTAGAAAGTAGGTCACTTTAGCTATAGAGCCTCGTATTCGTGTATACGTGGCATTGAATAAAACATCTCTATCACGAAAACGAGGCTCTATTAGCCGAGGTGACGTGCTTTCCTCAAGCATGTATTGTTGTAATTTTGGGTGGGGCAGGAGTCACTTATGACAGGAAAATGGCAAGACATATGAGATAGATACTACAAGGGAATGAATACCGGATGCTCTCAGGAAACGAATACCTGATGAAAAAGGACGGTGCTGTCATTGTTACGACGGACAAATACGTTTGCCCCGGGGAAATTTCTAACCAGTACCAAATATGTGCATTATATTTCCTGTAATATAAATTTTATATCTTCCTATGTTTTAAATGTTTTTGATTGGTTTGCGATATTTTTAAAAGTATTAATAACTTACTGACCGAGAGTGAGGGCAGTACGGGAAAATATCCAACCGAGGTCTTGCTGTACTGACCGAGCGATAGCGAAGTCAATACAGGAAGACCGAGGTTGGATATTTTCCCGTACTGCCCGAACGGTTGAGGTCAGTAAGTTTTTTATTATATGGCATTGTACGTTTGTAAAAAATGGAAAAAAAGGTCACGCGAGGGCAAAGTACAAAGTCCGAAACATTTGCAAAAAAGAACAATTGTAAAAAATGTTCTCTTGGTTAGCAAAACACAGTTTGGATAGTGATTTCAAGAAAAAAACGAGGTATTTCGTCATTTAATCAAAGACAATTACAAATATGAAAACAATAAAATTAATAAACAGTATGGACAAGTACGTTTTTAGTTCGCTTCATCTCATATCGAACAAAAACAGAAATTTTCAGGAAAAAAATATAAATCTGTGGCTGATTTAGATCAAATCACAGCTATTCCTGACTGGTTTAATAGTTATAAACATTGTAAAATTTACCCTGTAATTTCGACTTTCGCTAACAAAAACATATTGAGAAAGTTCTTTAACCACAGAAGGTGCTTCATTTCTTTAGTTTAGGTTTATTTTTCTTCGTTTTGAATAGTTTGAAAGACTTTTAAACACTTTTTGCCGTTTGAAACTCGGCTCTCGTCGCAGGGCAATAAAAATTGCGTATTGCCCGTGGGCAATACGGGAAAATCCTGCCTCGTCAGCAGCCAATCAAATTGCACGATTCATCAAAACAAATGCTTGCCATATAATAAAAAGTTTTACCCACTCAGGTTGCATTCGACAGTTTTAGGCAAAATTTGTGTGGTGCAAATCGGCCTTTGGGAAAACAGACAGGTAATTGTACGCACCTGACAAGATAGTGTTAACGATAGCTAAGGCTACCGTAGCTGCATCACCATCTTCAGCGATAGAAGCCTGAGAACCACCATTAAATGCCAGGAAACCAAAGAAAAGAATAAATCCACCAAGAGAGACCATCTAAAGAACGTAATAGATATTTATTGCATTCATTTTATTGTAATAGAATGTCTTGGTAACTAAGAGGGTCAGGTTGGGACAATAAGTTCATTCGTTATCAATATGAAAATATTAATGCTTTGTACATTTAGGTCTTCAGTCGTCCAATTATGGTATTGCAGAATTTTCCACCGATTAGGGTTTATACGAATCAATTTGCTGTAAGCAAGAAAATTAGGACTTTCGAAATGTTAGACTGATGAGAGATTAATGAAATTTGCAAATATTCACAAGGAAATCTCATCAAGGGAATCACAAGGAAATCACGATGTTATCTATACATCCAGCACCAGCTTTTAAGGTTAAATCATTGCTGTTGGATGTCAGTGGATTCAGCGGTTGAATGCAGGATCCATGCACGACTTAGCCTTAGGACTGCATTCAAGCTTAACGAATGAGCGTTTTGTATTTCATATCAGAATCACCACATTCTGATTGGAAAACGGCCAAGCTGTGAAACAGTACAAAAATAGTTAAAATATACATACAGGAACAGTATGACCTCGCAATGTCTTATCATCATCTTCAAATCTGCCAATACGTGGTCCTACTGCAATAGCTCCAGTCAAAGCCAGCATACCGCCAACCATGTGAACTACTCCACTCCCTGCAAAGTCTTGATAAGTAATGTCGTCATCTTCTTGCGATACCTTGAGCCAACCATGTTTTGACCACGCCCAATGAGTGACGACGGGATAAACAAAACCTGTATTGTAAACAAGATAGAATTAATTTTAGTTTAACAGCTCAAGGGAAAACAGCGACACAAATCACCTCTTCGTGCAAAATATTGTGTCCTTTAGTGTTTTGGAATATAGAAAAGTGTAGTGATAATGTCTCCCCAAAGGTATTCTATTTTTGAAAGTGCTTTTAATTAAACTTGAGCGTTCTGTGCATGCCAGTGTAGGTAGTGCAACTAGGTAATAAGAAAGCTTCAGATTGATATAGGGATACCACTGTATTTTTCATGTAGTTCTACCCCTATCAATCTGAGGCTTTAAAACTTTACCTTTACATGATATAAGTTCTAAAATATACCATGACTAAACCACAAAATTAGATTACCACAAAATAACACATGCAAACACAGTTTGTGATCTAGTCCCCCCTCGGCGATCTGACGGCGTCCGTGATGAAAAAAATTGAGGGCACTATTTTATTACTGAGTACGAATTAAATGTGTTATTCAAATATTTAAAACCAAAGGATAGCCCCAATGTTTGCCCTAAAAGTTCAACAACATGGAAATCAGTTATCATCTTTCCTCAAAATCCTTAATTGACGATGGAAAATCACTACCATCCCGAAGTTATAATTTAAACCAACAAATTGCTCTGACGGGCCCCTGGGTTAGAGAATAATATTACTTTAAATAATTAGAATTAAATCTTAGATCATAAGTTAAGATTTACCTGTTATTAATGCGGAGTAAATTAGATAGGCCATGAACTCAGCTCTCTCAGCGATTGCTCCACTAACAATAGTGGCTGCAGTTGCTGCAAATACGAACTGGAAGAACCAGGTCGCATAGTCGTTCTCATCCAAATCAGATAATGCAAAATTATCATGTCCAATGAAGGCATCACCTCTGCCTTTGATATTATCGTCATCCCCACCAAATGCAAAAGAATAACCAACTAACCAATACACAGTGGCACCACAAACTAAAAAAAAATGATATCCGTTTTTCACCAATAGGAATATGTATGTATTCGTTTGAGATGATGTGTTTTACATATCAGTGGTATTATATAATATTGTGATAATCGCATTCCCGAATGTTTTGACAAGAAAACATAACAAACACGTTCCAGAGCAAAGTGTGATATTCTATTTACTTAAAAAAATGGACAAATACACCTCATGTGAGAAAAATGTCCACAAATGTAAAATCTCATAATATCCTATGCTAAAAGTTAACATTTTGGTGTAATTTTGCCAAAAATATTACGTGTTGCAAAAAAATGCGGAAAAGATCAATATTTTCAATAGGTTTGAGTGTAATACAACTAAAGAAGAGATTTTGGTCATTTTAAAAGCAGTGGTCATCGATCAGCATATTAATTGTAGGTTTGGATAAATCCAAGCCAATATTAACACTAAAAGACACTACATGATTTTCTTAATGGCATTGTCACTGATATGTTGAAACCACATTTTTACATAGCTCATAAAATAGGGATATATTTATTAGGGATATAAAATTGGGCGATAGTGCGGTTTTGGTAATAGAGGACAAGTTCTATTTGATACTATTTGATACAAAGCAAATATGAGTAATATTTTACACTTGAAACAGAGAAATCATGTTTTTATACTATGAAAATGGCGACATCTGATTGGTCTGCAAGAAATTGCGCTGAAACTAGCCTTTAATAGTTTTACATATTGTCGCATTCCTGAATTTGTTTTCACACGGAAACAAGACACGTTTTTCGGGCGAGAGGTTTTGCATGCTAATACCGTTTGGAGGACAAGCCCCAAGAAAATGTATGACCAGAATGATATAGTCGCCGTGCTCCGGCCTTTGCAAGTGACGAACGTATATACATAAGAACTTACATAAATCCAGGGTATTCTTGATCAAAATATTGGTTGTGTTCTTTGATCTCACCGAACCAGCTTCAAGGAATGCAAAACCAGCTTGCATAACTATAGATAAATATATTACAGTATGAGTTTTATTCAGAAATCTATACCAGGTTCGCCTTTTAATATGTGGGCTGTGGGCAATACGAAACCTTAGTCCTATATTTCCTATTATATTTCCTATTATATTTCCTATGATATTTCCTATGATATATATATATATATATATATATATATATATATATATACCGGGTGTCCCAAAAAAAAGTACTCCGGTTTGATCCGTAATAACTTCTAAACAAGTAAACCTTTTAAGGAGAAATAACTTGCATCAAATAGAGGAAGGACTAACTTAGATTTTGATATGTTACAGTTGTATTTTACTTAAAAATTCACGGAGATATTAATGTTTAAAATCGGGAGCATATTTCTGGATGTGTCTGAAATATGCAAAAAACGGCGTATCAAATATTAATCAAGATTTGCCCGCCGACTGAAACATGCACGATTACCAGTAAATAAATGACACTTGACAAATTGTTTATTATGAAACAAAGTATTATTATCTACAAAATACAAGCAAGATTTATTCGTCCGAAATCTGTGTGTGTTCCTAGCACGAATACGTTTCCTTATTTCATGAGACCACTGCATCGCGAAGGATCGTCATGGATCGTTCGTAGTTCTGAATTAGGGCATGCTGTCACAATGGAATTGTGAAGCTCTTCTAACTTCTACAACGTTCTGAAATCTTGTTAAGAACACTCAAACTCATTTGCCTTTTCTTAATCTTTTTAAGTTCAGAATAAACTGAGAATGAAACACAATCAAACCATACAACTCCATAAGACATAACAATTAAGCATGCAACTCCCTAGAGATATCCAACATTTTTAGAACAAAACGTAACAAAATAGTAGCGTTGATACTGTGATGTGTATTTGCAAAAAGCAATATTATTTCCTTCATTGCAGAATAATATTCATCCTGCTCTAACCGAGAAATGATTAACTCTGTTTTGAACCCATGAAAAACATAAAAAAATTAGGCTAAGAAAAATTTAAGCGCCTGCCTTGCATGGTCTTTCATGTACCTTATAAATTTGTAAAGTTTGTAAAGACCTATTAAATACTTACATAATTTCGTACGTTCATATTTCAGGAAACAATGAGCTAAGACTTACATGTAAGAAGTCTAAATCTACGCCATATCCCTTACAAACCCTAACGACAATCTGCTGAAATACAAGTTAGCCTGATATGTCATCAAGCAAACAAACGCTGAAGTTAATATTTGATATGCCGATTTTCGCTAATTTTAGACACATCCCAAAATATGCTCCCGATTTTGAACATTAATATCTCCGTGAATTTTTAAGTAAAATACAACTGCAATATATCAAAATCTAAGTTAGTCCTTCCTCTACTTAATGCAAGTTATTACTGTTTGATAGCTTTACTTGTTTAAAAGTTATTATAAATCAAACCGAAGTACTTTTTTTTGGGACACCCGGTATATATATATATATATATATATATATATATATATATATATATATATATATATATATATATATATATATATATATATATATATATATATATATATATATATATATATATATATATATACATATACATACATATTTTATACGACATTTATCAGTATAATAATATTGCACGTTTAGGAACTTTTTCCACAATCTTCGACTATATATAATGGATAATATAGTTTTAATTAGGTTTTAATATAAATATTGTGCATTTCTTTCACATGAATATTCGATCCCCTATCTCCCCCCAGCCGTTTCAATTTTTCGTTGGTGGTGTCAGAAGACGTCTTCTCAATTTAATCCCCGAGCCAATGGCTCGCGTACGTAAGGCCGGAGCGAGGGTACTAATTCCGCTCGGCTATTTACACCCGGGAAAAGGAAAGCATTAGCGAAGTGTAAAGTTCATCAAACTTCGGGGGCGTCTGGCTGTGATCCAAGGGTAGAACTCCCACTGATCTCAAAAAAAATGGCGGACTGTCGTGGAAATGGCGAACACTGATTGGTCAAGTTTAAATTTCGCGTTATGATGACTGCATAATACGACATAAATATTCATAATAACAGAGTGACACTATTTGAAAATATAACTCTTTTATACGGGTTCTATTGAGAAAATTAAAAAAAAAATTAAACAAATAAAATAAAATAACTAAATTAAATAAAAACCATTAAACAACTGACTTGACCTCGTAGCTCAGTTGGTGTAGAGCATTGGACTAGTATCCCAAAGGTAGCGGGTTCGATTCCTGCCGTGGTTAGGCAAACTTTTCAGCTTGCCCAGTGTGGATGCACACTCAGAGTAACTCCACAAACATCATATTCACCTGAGTACACAACACCAACACACACACAAAGTAAATATAATAAAGTTATGCAACCAAACGAAAACTAGCAAGAAGATGGGAAAAAGCCGAAAGCGGGCAAAGACGCCGACGTGTGCTACAGGTGACTGAAAAACTTTATTGTCTTTATTCAGAAACCCGAAAAATCGTTAATGAGACGTGCAGCCAACAGTCTATTTGTTCATAACAATAGGGCAATAGATTGCTGGATCATCGGAAATCGTAAAACCCAATGGAGGTAAGTTTGTTTTAAATATTGACGTATTGTTTGCTTTATAATTGCTTTAAAAACTGGTCGTTGGCCGTTGCGTAAAATGAAAAATGATGATTTGAATGTATTTTTATTAATTACCTTTTTTATTATATTAAAATCTTTAATTAAATAAAGAGAAAAGCAAAGATATTTTCATGTGAGAATTTGAAATAATTTTATTTCAAACTTAAAGTTTATAGTATTAAAGGTAGTTTAGTTTTAAGAACATTTTAAAACTTGAAGTTTAGGCTATATTACCCATAATAACGTGTAATAACACAACTAACATATATATTTTTGGAAAATTGATAATTTTGTATATAAAAGTGATATTTTTAGGGGAATTTTCAATTTAATTTAAAAAAATATACTTTATAAAATAATCGTGTTACCATGAAAACTACTTCATATACTTCATGTTCGGAGAATATAATGGTTTTGCCAGCAAGACGAGGGGATTCTGCATGCATGTATTTCTAGTGAATTAACAAATCCCATCCAGATTTTTCCAGTAACATATCACTGGTATGGAGGCTCCAAGCAGCGGAATTAAGGCTAAACCACAAAGAAAAGCTGAATCCGTAGGTTATGTGAATTACGGTATGCAATATCGTTACAATGGTGATCCCCAACAACTGCCGGCCTCGTAACAATATAATTACAAAGGATATCGATCTTATATAATATACAGTAGGTTACATAGTCATAGTTACGATTACATGCAGGTATATCGGATAGCTTTCTGTAGCGGCGCATAAAAGTACCTATTCCGAAACGGAATGCACAATGTGCTAAAAGGTTGTCTTTGCTTTGATTTGTTTTAGACTTTTCAAAATGGTTTATTCATTTTCAAAGTACTAGTTAGTAATGAAACGCTTCATTTAGTATCTACATAACAAGATCATTTTAGGTAGGTCTTTACGGCACAGGAGAACAGGTGGGAAATTTGCTGTCGCTGGTCAGTAAATTGCGGGCGCTAGCGAAAAGTTTGTTCTAAATTATTAAAATGAGCAAAAACAAGTTTTTGGGCTTCGCGTTTGGGAAGGAACCGCGCATGTGCAAGAATTTAAGTTCGTTTATTCAAAGGCTATTGAAAAATGTCCTGGATAAGAGATTTTAAGCTGAAATCGGGCAATTATAAACTATTTATTTCTACGACGATGTTTATAACTTTTTCCAAAGATGCAAGTTTTTTCACTCCCTGAACAGATGAAATTAAAAAACTAAACTCACGGTGGGTTTAACATCTATTTAGGCTTCAATCCATGCTGGGAAATTTCGATACAAACCACAGTCAATATCCTGGCCTTAGGCATGTACACGTGATATCAATCTAAGAATGATCGCGTGCTAGTCAGTCAGTGTATCACGGTGTTATCATGCGATTGTCATTCAGGATGAAACAAAGAAACTTAAAGATATTACTTCAAGCTGTTCCTCGTTATCCATTTTGTTCACGTGCTAAATTCGAACTTTGACTGGTATATATTCACGCCCTGAAGATTTTCTTTGTTTTGAAGGAAAATAAAATGGGATTAAAATATATCATTAAATAATTTAATTAATATTTACACCGAATATTAAATGACCTCCCGACTTATAACATTCGTTAAGCGAAAATGTTTACACCATACGCTTGCCTGTACACTGACATCGGTGCAAAGAGGCAAAATTTTACTTCAATTTGACGATGTCGCTTGTTGGATGAAAATGTTGAACGCCAATTCTGATGTTGACGATGCAACATCAGGCAACAACATTACTTAACACACAATGTTGAAATGAGGCCAACAAGGCAACATGTTGCAACCAGTAATGTTGGATGCTGTTTGATCAACATGTTGGCCTCGTTTGAAGGCCTTAAAGATAAGTTAGAGAACTCTAAAATAGCTGAGAAGCGTTAAAACACAGCACACGGTAACAATAATATAGTATTTAGCGTTGGTAAGCGCGTTGTATGTCGTGCATCTTGTGTTATGGGTTATAATGTGTATAGACCTGAAGATTACATGACGCTTACGGCAGACGGCTAATCGCAAACGCCAAACTTCAAATCGTATCTTGTTGTCGACTAACTGTTAGTTTTTAGAAGTTAGGGCAATTTGTGCATTCAAATTAGAGCATGAATTAGCTACTTGGCTGTCGAAAAGTTGTACACATATAACTTACAAATGCGAGTTGCGGTGTTGAAAAAGTCCGCAAGCGTCGATCTTAATTAAGGTCTACTGTTAAAAATGGCTGTCTAAACTGCCCAGAGTATAGACTATGAACTGCAGACATTTTTGACAGAAATGGCGCGCGGGTTAATGCAACCATGTTCCGTTTTCAATTACTTTCGGATGGTGTAAAATATGAAACCTTTAGTGGTGTAAATTTTGGCATGTACAAGGTGAAACAAAGATTTTTCGCAGTGAAGATGATCCTTGCTTACTGATCGTAGCCCTGCCAGATAAATATATTGCACTTTATCCACGAACTTCGCAAATTCGACTCGTTCTGTTTTTCTGCTAATAACTGAATGATTAGACTTGGTGCAGATGTCTGCCTTTCGAGGGGTTGAAAATGGCACTGGCGCATGCACGCAAGCGGCAAACTACGACATAATATCACTTTTTGTACTTGCCAACGAGGTTTAAAACATCAAATTTTAAGCAAAAGTGAATTATAGCGTATTATTCATTTTTAGTTCAGAACCATCGAAACAACTTTTCATATCCATTTTTACTTTTTTTATTAATATTTCGTTGCCCGCCAAACACGATACGTTTCTAATTTTAAACAGCCAATCAAATTTTTATAGCAATTAAATACTAACAACTGGATTGGCTGTTTAAAATTAGAATTAATTGTAAACATATAGGCGTTTTGATGCGTTTGTGTGTTATCCGCAGCTGATTGTTACGAATTAGTTAGCTCAACCAGTTTTCGGTATGTATGCTTGATCGTTTTTTACTGATTGACTTTTAATGTTGATTACCCATGAGGACAACTGCTTCTGAATAATATCCTCGATCTTGTATTAAAGCCTTACTGAAAACTAAATATTTTACCAAAACGGCAGTCCTTATACTCTAGCCTGAAAAAAGTGTGCCTAAGGCTACAGTAACTCCAGACGAAGGCCTTCGCTCAACGCGAAACGTCGAAATTCTCCTTATATATTTTCAGGTAGTTGCATACCAACGAAAGCTTGATCATTTTATCGGCACTACCTACAATGGCAAAGGCAATTCTAACTTTAATAGCCAATTTCAGACAAATTTCCCGCAGCCAATCAGATGTCGCTATTTTCATATTGTTGAGTTACGATGTTAGGAATGTAGTCACGAAAACATTTATATGACACGTTTTTTGGCGAGATGAAGAATCCGCGGTTTTGGTAATAATGGATAAGCGCAATACAATTAATAGAAATAGGCGCTGAATTCCAACCTAATTTGTCTGAGTGCATGATGATCACTTAACTTACTATTTAAAAAGGACTCTTATTTAAAGGACTATTATGTTACCAGGCCTATATTAAGTTTATAACGGACCTTTTGCGTCAAAGGAACTAGGTAAAAGGTAAAATGAATGATATTTGATGGGTATTGTAGATGGAAATTGTGGAAATTCCACTCGGCAATTTCCATTTACAATACCAAACTTATTCATTCGGGTGACATGCCACAAAATCTTGATATTTACCCATAACCTGTACATGGCAGTACCCTAGTATATATACATGAACTTGTGGTTAGAGCTCGACAACTGCATGGCCTCTGTAGCTCGGCAGTTGGTCGCAGCTTCAATTCCTGCCAGGGACCTAAAGTTGCATTTTTCGCTTCTGTTCCTGGTTAGGTCTAATAAATGTAAAAAAAATTCCACTCGACAATTTCCATCTACAATACCGATCAAATAAGGTAAAAGAAATCTTCTGAATCTTTGATAATTGTACATTTCGCACCGGATAGGTGCTTTTTCGCGCCGCACAGAATAAGCTATCCAGTAGTGTAAACGTAGCATGTATAGGTTGTGCGGTAAAGTTAGAAATCAGAAGCAAATGCCAATGAAAGAACGACTCGCGTGCCTGCTTTGCCTTTAACGACATCAACATATGCATTTCAGGAGCGATGTCTGCCCACAAAATTTCCCCCTTTAACGGTTTTCGTTTTATTTTGTCATATTAGCGCAATTTTAAGTGTTCGGATATTCCTGTCTTATTTTCCTGAAACCGTTTAATTCGATGTCATGACAAGGGAATCCGGTAGTCATTTAACAGGGGCCTCAAGATAATAAGTTGCTTTGACAAAATAACGCAAAGGCCAATGTTCATTTCATGGTTAAATTTACCGTCTTGTTTGTTATGTTTGCTTATACGCATGCACATGCAAACCATGATATACAAGGGTATATTAATATAAAATTAGTTTAATTTAATGCCATTTGCTCGAATAATGCTACCATTGCAGCGTTGCTTCATATAACGCCTAGAATCTACATCGCAATATTTTATACGACTACAACCTTATACGACTACAACCAATAAAAATTAGATAAAAGATATACTACATCATAAAATAAAATTTCGATATACAAGTACAATATAAACACACACCAAAATGCAAACACCTAGCTAGCCTACATAATTTATACCATAGCCTATACATAATATATATATCACTGTAATATAGGACTGTCCAAAAACGAAAAAAATCTTATTCAAAACTTACAGAGAACAATGAAGCCATTGATGATAAGGAAGAATTGGTTCAGATTAGAGTCCAAAGTCATTTCGAAAACGAATGTCTCTCCGCAATGTTTCCTTCAGCGCAGCACCAAGAGAAATGCAAGATAAATTAATCGGTGTTCAAGATTTAATGACAATTAACATATATAGGTATAGAAATTAAAATGCTTTGAAAGATGATTTAATCATGCATAGCTAATGATGGTAGGTAGAAGATTGAATAATTTGTGTGATTGGTCATTAACATGCGAGTATACAGCATTAATGTGAGTGTACAGCTATTTCAGTTAAGGTTGTGTCCCCGAGCAAAACGAAAAAGTTGAATACGAGCTCGAAAGCTTGTTGGGAATCGCTAAAAAATTAAAGAATTTTTTAGCGAATCCCAGCAAGCCTTTCGCGCTCGTATTCGACTTTTCCGCTTTGCTCGGGGACAACCTTAATTGAAATAGCTGTATATAGCCGCGTGCATAAAGAGCGCCATGCCGTTCACGTGAACAAACAGTGTTATACCAATCGCTAAAAGTTTGTCTTTGCTTTGCTTTGTTTATAGACTCTTTCAAAATGATTTATTCATTTTCAAAGTACTAGTCTGCAGTAAACGCTTCATTTAGTATCTGAATAGTATTATAATTCTGAAAAGTATAACAATAGAGGTGTAAAGGAGTTGCAGCATTACAATTTCTCGCACAGGAGAACTAGTAGTTTCATGCAGTTGTGCACTACCTGCCGTGCACAGGGCCCGTGTGCTCACGATCTATGGACGTTCGTTCGCAAGGGTGAAGTCGGTATTCATCACCATCTTGTATAATCTTGTAAATCATAGGCAAAGAAAGGCAAGAATCTGACTTTTATTTAGTTGTTTTATATGTCACAGCAGATAAAAATCATGGCTAAGCAAATTCCTCTCAGCTCTATCTGATAGCAAGAACAATGTTTCCAGTCATTGACCCATAGTGTGCACCAGAATCAGATATTGAATATTTTGTGCATAAATTCTGTGCACCAAGGGTAGCCTTTGTGTATTGCCATACACAAAGGCTACCCTTGGTGCACAGAATTCATGTGCCGCGTATACATTAGCTTCAATCCATGCTGGGAATTTTCGATACAAACCACAGTCAATATCCTGGCCTTAGGCATGTACACGTGATATTAATCTATAAGAATGATTGCGTGCTAGTCAGTCAGTGTACCACGGTGTTATCATGCTATTACCCTTCAGGATCAAACAAAGAAACTTAAAAGATATTACTTCAAGCTGTTCCTCGTTATACATTTTGTTCACGTGCTAAATTCGAACTTTGACTGGTATATTCACGCCCTGAAAATGTTCTTTGTTTTGAATGACACGAGCGTGAAGAGGCAAAATTTTAACTTCGATTTAATTAGCAATGTTGCATGTTGGATGAAAATGTTAAGTGCATGCAGTCATATCTGAGCCAACGTCTTCCAATACTAGCCAACATTACCTAACATATAATGTTGAAATGAGGCCAACCAGGCAACATGTTGCATCCAGCAATGTTGGATGCTGTTGGATGAACATATGTTGGCCTCGTTTGAAATCCTTAGGGACCGGTCATGAAGTAATTACTAGAGGGGGGTGGAGGATAAATGAAATTTCAAGTACATATTTCCATACCCTCCCAAAATCCTGTGGAAAAATTTTCGTAACCCCCTTCAATGTAAGAGAAAATTTTCATATTGATTTAACATGTTTAACTCTGTTTTAACATTTGTCTTGCGTTTATCTATATTTCGAAACTCTCAGCTTGCGATAACTCTCCCACTTCTTGTAGTGGTAACAATATCCTCAACATTTTCCGCAGTCTCTGATTCGTCTTTTCAGATTCTGACATACTAACAGAGATGGGCAGAGGGTAAGATCAAACAGAAAAATTTGTTTTTGGTTTATTTCAAATAGAAAAAATTTGCTTCCTTTCAATGGGACACTTCCTCATCTGGTTCATGAAGTTCTAATGCAGGTGTGAGCTTGCTAGCATTGACAATTCAGCTGAGCTTTGAGTCACATAAAAACATATACCTTGTGTTGATTTGATAATTATAGTAAAGCAATTCTTTCCAAACTTAAATCTGGGCACAAAACATTCAATATTCAACAATAGTTATAAAATGTTATTTTTTTCCGTACCTATAGTACTAAGATTTTGGTACCACCCTAGAGGTTCTGTGTTTTTTTTTCGTACCCCCCTGAGAGGTTCTCTTTTTTTTTCGTACCCCCCCCAAAAAAAAATATCCTCCACACCCCCTAGTAAATACTTTATGACCGGTCCCTTAAAGGGCATGATTGGCAATAAAAAATTAGTTTCTCTCATTCAAACGAACTCTTAAAATTATATAAGTTAAACTCTATTACAGATTTGTCACATCTTGCTTACTGTAGTTCTCGAAATATTTAGACCGAAATTTTAATGAATTATGCGCCATCTTGGACTATTTCTTGACCTCAGCGGTGGTTTTGATGACGTCAGGAGTTGGGTTAACCATATAAAACTACTCAAAAATGACCGAGTAACAATCCAAAATTGTTTGAAATGTTTTTAATCATTTCTAAATTTCAGGCAGCAACCTGAAACGAAGTTTGAACCCATATTGATCGCTTACTTTCAAGATAAAAAATTAACGTGACCCCTCTCTTGACGTAACATGCATATCCTCAATAACTGTGTGACATGAAAATGTAACCCACGTTTTTCAGTCGAAATAGTTTGAAAACTAAGCAAGATATAAACAATCTGTAATAGAGTTTAATTCAAATGAACTAAACTAATTTTTTATTGCCAATGTACATGTCCTTTAAAGAGAACTCTAGAATAGCTGAGAAGTGTTAAAACACAGCACATGTGTAACGAGATTATCTTGCGTCTTGTGTCGTGTAACGAATAGAGTGCCTTATTTAGATTACATGACGTTTACGGCAGACGCATAACCGCAAACGCCAAACTTCAAATCGTATTTCGTTGTCAACTAACTGTTAATTGTTTGAAGTTAGGGCAATTTGCATGTGTATTCAAATAGGAGCATGAATTAGCTACTTGGCTGTCGAAAAGTTGTATAGCTTACAAATGCGAGTTGCGGTTAGCGGTGCGCCGTAAACGTCCGCATGCGCCAAATCTTGAGGTCTCGAATGTTAAAAAAACAGCTGTCTATAAACTAAACTTCCTAGAGTATAGACTAAACTGTACAAATTTTTGACAGAAATGGCGCGCGGGTTAATACGACCATGTTCCGTTTTCAACTATAAACCAACTGTCTATTGTAAACATTGAAATTACTTTGGGATGGTGTAAAATATGAAACCTTTAGCGGTGTAAATTTTGGCATGTACTAGGTGAAACAAAGATTTGTCGCAGTGAAGATGATCCTTGCTTACTGATCGTAGCCTTGCTAGATATTTATATTGCACTTTATCCACGAACTTCGCAAATTCGACTCGTTCTGTTTTTCTGCTAATAACTAAATGGTTAGACTTGGTGCAGATGTCTGCCTTTCGAGGGGTTGAAAATGGCACTGCGCACGCAAGCAGCAAACTACGACATAATATCACGGATGCTTTGTTTACAAACTTTTCAGTTTCATTACTATAAACTTTTTGTACTTGCCAACGAAGTTCAGAACATGTAATTTTAAGCAAAAGTGAACTATATTATTCATTTTTATCGAAACTAGTTTTCGTATCCACTTTACTTTTTTTATTAATATTTCGTTGTCCGCCAAACACGATACGATTCTAATTTTAAACAGCCATTCAAATTTTTATAGCAGTTATCCCCGCGATTAATTCCGCCCAGCTATATTTATACCCCCGGGGAAGGGAAAGCATTAGCGAACTTTAGCGAAGTCTAAAGTTCATCAATGATCGCGGGCGTGGGTCACTGTCGGTGTTTCGGTGGGTGGTCATAGGTTATCCTCACTGATCTCATAACATAGCGGACTGTCATCAATAGCCAACACTGATTGGTCCAATTTAAAATTTGCATTATAACGACTGCATGCATGACGTGTTTCTTGCAAATATATTTCATTTTTGCAAGATTTTGTAAATTTCAAAAGCTTTTTGATAAAATAAGGCGAAAGAATAGGCTAAAAGAAGGGAGGAAAGGCGCCGACGTTACTTAACGAAGGTAGCTAAGTTTGTTTTAAATATTGATGTATTGTTATTTGCTTTATAATTAGTTTAAAAGCGAATCGTTGCGTATAATGAAACAAGACGGCATATAATTTCAGTGTATCTTTATTGATTATCCAGTTTATTATTATATTAAATTTTTTAAATAAAAAAGAAAGCAAAGTTATTTGAATGCGAGAATTTGAAATCATTTTATTTCAAACTCAAAGTTTATCGATTAAAGGCAGTCAGTTTTATATTAGCGAGCTTAAGCAAGCGATGTCGTTTTTGTCAAAAATATGGACGTCAGATTGCCGAGGGGGGACTGGATTAAAAACTGTGTTTGTGTCAGTTTGTGGTAATCTTCAACACATACGTCAAAACATAAGATTTTAAAGTTTTTTGCTTCCTTGCATGAGCGCTATGATGCAAAATGCTGTCAAAATGAGTTATACCAATTTTTCCGGTGACGTCCATGTTGAGAAAAACGTCGCTTGCTTAAGCTCACTATTAATTCTAATAAATGAACACTTTAAAACGTTTTGCGAAGCGTTTGTGGCATGCATGGTTGAATTTTACCTTAAATTGAAGCTTATAATGCGTATAATAACATACCCAACATATATATGTTTGGGAAATTGATAATTTTGTTATTAAAAGTGATATTTTTAGGGGATTTTTCAAAAATATTCTTAAAAAATTATCGTGTTAGGCTACCATGACAACTACTTCATGTTCGGAAAATACAAAAATGGTTTTGTCAGCAAGGCGAGGGAGTTTCTGCATGTATGTATTTCCTAGTATACTAAGAACTGGATTGGCTGTAAAATTAGAACTATAACAAGACGCCCGCTCGGCATTAACCTCGGGTCGGTGGATAGGGCATCGTCATAGTTCGTTAGTTTAATAGTTCACTAGTGTGAATCACGATAGTTTAATAGTTCACTAGTATAAATGGTGAATCAGTCAATCAAAGCTCCGTTTTAACCAGGCATTAAAATACGGAATTTTTACAAGGACACACTTTGCCTTAAAAGGCGTCGAAGACGTGAGCTTTTAAGCCGGTTTTCTACTAGGCGGAATTTTGCGCGCGGAGCGGAATTTTTCTTT